ACGCCACCATGATCCTTACCTTTAATTAAGAATAAGAATACTAATTTTAAAAAAAATAAGATACCCTGTAAGTATTTCTTTGAAATGGCTTCTAGAAATCCTTTCCTGCGTTCGTTTTGTAATAGTTAGTTATAGATTAATATAATTTTCCACTTATTTATCGACTAACAAAATCCAGTCTTGAATTCCAAAAAGGTGTGATCGGTAACGGAAGTGATAGCAGTCTTTTTTTCTCGTTTCCAACGCTTCCAAAAGATGAACGTCGCGACTATGAAAATTGCCGTTAAAAGTCCCGCCAACACTGCCGAGGATGTCAAAACTTGGATAATGAATCTTCCTTTGTTTATGGAACAGTTCACTTCTTGTTCGTCACTTCCTGAAGGACAATGGACCAATCCATCACACCACAGATCGGAACTTATACAAGCGCCAAGTTCAGGACAGCTGGAAGACATCGGATGTAATGTACAGGGCGCTATACGTCAGTTATGGGGAAAATTATAAAGGATTATGTAGATTTTAGGATTGAAATTTAATAATTTTCGCCAGGAAGATAAAAAAATACGACCGTTAAAGTTAGACTCAAAAAAAGAAAATCATCCTGGAGATATGTAGGTCTATACGATGGTTATTACATATCATTGTACAAAGGTGACTATTACAACTAAACTGTATTCTATCGAAACTGCCAGACGCGGATCGCGATTTCGATCTTTTTGGATCTCTTCAGCGCGTCGCAGGCAGCTCCGACAGAACACAGACCAACTCCAGTTGTACTGTCTTTAATGATGTTGATCGCGTCTTCGTTGTATAGATTAAAAAGTAGCGGTGTGCATCTCTGTGTGACTCCCTTCCTAATATTTACTTCTCTATATTAAGTGTTACTCAGCAAATATAAATATTTTGCCAGGTTTTGTGGTATTAAGAGTGAGTCTTTTTTTGGTTGATTTATTTAAGGGTTATCTAAAATTTTCAAAATTGGAAAACTTTTGATTTTCTGCTTGCTTCAAAATGAATGGGCAGCTGTTTTGTTAGGAAAGAGGGTAGGTTTTAATTAGAGTTCAATACCACAATACTAATTAGTAGGCAGCAAATAGAAGCTTAATTAAACATTTCTTTTTTGCTAATGCGTTACAAACAATAAAGACCTTAGTTACCGTAATCTTGGAAAGCTGGCCTACACATCGTTGAATAAATTAACACTAAAAGTTGTAAAATTATATGGGAAAACGCTTTAAGCAAACATAGGGCCTTCATTGTAACCCTTGATTTCAAATAACTGATTGACATGAACTAATGACAAAGTAATTGACAGAAAAAAAATCGGAAAATTTACGTAAAACTATGTTATACGTAACAAAAAAGATACCGTAAATGTTTAATTGGGGGGCGCATTATTATTTTTGTGTTATGGGGTATACTATGAATTTATTATTTNGACCTAGAGTTGCCCTGGTGAAGGTCAGTTTTAGTCTGTGATCTTCCGGAAATTCGAACATGTAGGAACACCTGAGGTTCTCTTGGCCTCCCCTTCCGTAAAGGAAGGTTGTCTTTGGGGACGAGAATTTACCAGTTCCCCCTTGGAAGACCCTGTCGCAGGTGCTGGTCATATTATAGCCTTCTTGGAACAGATCTACGAACTCGTATTTGAGAAGGAACTGGACCGGAAGCAGCACGTTGCCGTATCGATTAGAGAAGCTTATGGAAAGTTCTGAACCGGATGATATGTAGCTTTCGTGCATTTCACACGGACGTGTGGTTCTCGTGGCATTTCTCAATAGCGAATGGTCGCAGAGTTTCGGTTTTTCGTCCTTGCAGAAACGACTAATAAGGGCGTTTTTTTGTTTCGACTTTCCACTCTCCCCGAAGTCACCGTCCCACAGTTGCAGTTCGACGTTGCAATCGTCGTAGCCGAAGTTACCGACCTTTTCGCCGGCCACGTAATATTTAATGAACGTTATCCAAATGACCTCGTGTTTCTGACCTTTGAAGTGGTAATGACAGGTGGTGTTTGGTGGCAACGAATGCCTAGGACTCTGAAGAAAACCTGACGAATTGTCTATCGGAGTCAATATGAACTCGCATTTCTTTCCGTCTTCGATGTACTGAGATGATTCCTTTTCTACGTAGAAGATCTGCGGGATTATCGAAATTAGAAGTCCACTTAGGCTTTCGCGGTTTTTCTTCTGAAGAAACTAAAATCCCGGATTCTAACCGCGTCTTATTGATGAAATTACCATGACGGATCATGGTGGCATCAAAAATGTCGATGTGAGATCTTCAACATTGCTACTCCTGCGTGATATTCCTGAAGACGCCCCTTGTGATAGGAGACGAAACATCGAACACTTTCGACGCCACCATGATCCGTCATATTGATTTCATCCAGAAATCCAATTTCTTCAGAAATTAGAATGACATTATGAATGAACAAAATATTCTACAGCAAAAAACCCTTCTGTAGGCCCATGGCCGATATCATTGTAACCAAATTTTTTTCCGTCTTCGATGTACTCAGATGATTCCTTCTCTACATAGAAGATCTGCGGGATTATCGAAATTAGAAGTTGGTTTAGGCTTTCATGGTTGTCTTCTGAAGAAATAGGTTCCCGGATTGTAACCCGCGGCTTATTGATGAAATCACCATGATATAGAACATGGTGGCATCAAAAATGTCGATGTGGGATCTTGACCATTGCTACTCCTGCATCGACAACGTGAAGTTCCTGAAGATGCCCCATGTGATAGGAGACGAAACATCGAACACTTTCGACGCCACCATGATCCGTCATGTTGATTTCATCCAGAAATCCAATTTCTTCAGAAATTAGAATGACATTATGAATGAACAAAATATTCTACAGCAAAAAACCCTTCTGTAGGCCCATGGCCGATATCATTGTAACCAAATTTTTTTCCGTCTTCGATGTACTCAGATGATTCCTTCTCTACATAGAAGATCTGCGGGATTATCGAAATTAGAAGTTGGTTTAGGCTTTCATGGTTGTCTTCTGAAGAAATAGGTTCCCGGATTGTAACCCGCGGCTTATTGATGAAATCACCATGATATAGAACATGGTGGCATCAAAAATGTCGATGTGGGATCTTGACCATTGCTACTCCTGCATCGACAACGTGAAGTTCCTGAAGATGCCCCATGTGATAGGAGACGAAACATCGAACACTTTCGACGCCACCATGATCCGTCATGTTGATTTCATCCAGAAATCCAATTTCTTCAGAAATTAGAATGACATTATGAATGAACAAAATATTCTACAGCAAAAAACCCTTCTGTAGGCCCAT